GCCATGTATTGGCAGAAATGCCAGATCTTCCAGAACTCCTGTCGTGGACAGGACCCTGACACTAGGGGCACTTCCAGCCCGAATAAACCCAGAGACAATGCCATCAACTCGACAGAAAAAGGATTGCGGGATCTGCAGCGGTGTATGCCGAAAAAAAATAGATAAACTTAGGTAGGTGTCAGGAATGGACTTGTCAATAATGGTGGGACTCACCTGCCTTCTGGGCTGCAGTACCAGGGCTGGCCAGCGGGTGCTCTCAGCAATCAGAGACTCACCCCTGCAGTCAGCCAAACACCTGAAGCTGATTGCAGGGGTTGTATTTAAGGAATGGCCAGACTCACAGTCAGGGCCTTGGTGTGTGTTTTTCCATGGGCCCCTGTACCTTGTATCCTGTATTCCTATTCCTGTTCCTGTCTGACTTGTTGCCGACCCTGCCTGATCCTGACCTCTGCTGACTTCTCCTGTTTGATCCCTGGCTTGTGACCCTGACCATTCTCTGCCTGACCCTCTGCACCGCACTGCCCGTGAGTTACTGAACTCAGCTTGTGACCCCGACCACTCTCCCGCCTGTTCCTGGTACTCCGTTTGCCCGTTTGCTACTGACCCGGCCTGCCTGACGACTCTTGCATTGTATGTATTGTTATCTGTAGGTGGTTTGGTTCGTTTGCACTGTGTTTATGTTTAGTTTTGCACTGCGTTTTGTATTGTTAGTCTTAATAAATCATATTGTTTATACCATATCTGAAGCCTGCGTTTCCCTGTGTCAGTCCACACACCTCTGGTCATACCCGGAGCCCTGACAGTAGGAATATCATTTTAAAAAGATTAACCCGGCCGATGGTGCTAATCGGAAGCGAAGACCACGCAGTACATTTAGTCTGCAACTGTTGGACAAGGGGGTAAAGATTGTCTGTTAGAAACGTCTTCACGTCACGTTGCACCGTTACACCCAAATACTTAAAGCAAGACACCGATTTAATAGGGGCAAAGGAAATGTCGGGTAAGGGCCCTGATGCAAGAGGAAACAGTATGGACTTCTCCCAATTAATGCGGATACCGGAGTAACTGCCGAAGTGATCAATAAGACTCGGTGCCTCCCTAAGAGACGAATTATAGTCCCTCAAATATAGGAGAGTGTTGCCCGCATAGAGGGAAATCCTATCCTCCCAGTCACCCATCGGAAGGCCATGTAAAGAATCGGAAGAGCAGATTAGGCAGGCTAAGGGCTCAATCGCCAGGGCAAACAAGCCTGGTGAAAGTGGACAGCCCTGCCGAGTGCTCCTATGGAGAGCAAAAGGAGGGGGGGAGGATATTGTTAGTACATACGTGCAAATGGTGCACTGTAAGGGCACCTAATCCACGAAATTAAAAAAGGGCCAAATCCGAAGCGATGCAGTATTTCCCATAGATATTCCCACTCAACCGAATCAAAGGCCTTCTCGGCATCCAGGGACAGCACAACTCCAGGGTCATCTCTATCGTGAGCCGAAGAAATATGGGTGAGCAGTCTCCGTATATTAATGTCCGTACCCTTCCCCGACATAAAACCCGTCTGATCATGAGGCACCACCGCAGAGATAACCGAACCCAGTCTCACAACCAGCACCTTGGCAAGTACCTTCGCATCAGTATTCAAGAGGGAAATTGGCTGGTAGGAGAGGAGCATTGAGTTGGGTCTTTCCCGGGCTTCAAAATCACCACAATCTCCGCCTAAAGCATGTCAGAGGGCAGAGTTCCTGTCTCTAGGAGTGCGTTAAAAAGTGTTTGAAATCAGAGAGCCATTTGCTCAATGTATGTTTTATAGAATTCAATCGGGAAACCATCCGGGTGTCTTTCCCGATTGAAGAGCGCCAATCGCCTGCTGGATCTCCTCCAGGGAAATCAGTGCCTCCAACCGCTCCCTCTGGACTGCAGAGAGAGATGACAGGTCAACCTGATCCAGATAACGGGACAAATCCAGTGACATAAAGGTGGCTCTGGAGGAATACAAACTGCAAACCGCTGGTTAATGGAAAGTGGATCAAGAATCCTAGAACCCTCTTCAGCCTTTATAAGAGCAATATTGGACTGGGCAGATTGTTCCCTAGCCAACTAAGCCAGAAGGCGACCCGCTTTATCCCCCTGTTCCAAAAAATACGATGTTTATGATGCAGCATAGCCTTTCGGGAGGTGAAGCAACAAGGCGTCCCTAATAGCCAGCTGTAAATCGTGATGACCAACAGGATCTGGATTGTTCACATAACTGGATTCAGCTTTCTGCACCCTCCAGTCCACCAAGTCCACTTCCTCCCGCCGTCTAACCTGCAGCCCCCCTATCAGGGTCTGATATTGACCCCAAAGAGTAGCCTTACAAGCCTCCCAGGTAGAAGTAGGCGCAGCAGTATTCTCATTAGAGTTTCAATAAAGCTCCAATGCCTTCCCTATAGGGGGTTCTACATCAGGATCAGTGATCCAATACCGGGATAACCTCCAGACCTTTACCCCTGGGGCATCAGCAATACGTAATGTAAGAAGGAGTGGAGTGTTGACCAAATCTATAGGTTATGAACTATAATATTTCTCTGATATGATTTGGTAAATGAAGAGTTCTTACCCAGAAGTGAAAGGTTCAACACAACAACCAAAATTTATTGGTGAATAGGATGGAGGTCTAAACTACCACAAGCAATCTATCTAGTTACATAAAAGAAAGAGTATTAACCTCCCTGGCGGTATTCCCGAGTGTAGCTCGGGGTAACATTTCAGTACCAAAAGCGGTAACCCCGAGCTACACTCGGGCTTACCCTGAGGCACTGCTCCGGCAAGTGTTCTTCACTTACCTTACCCTGCGCTCCCACGATGTGTCCCCTGCAGCGTCCCCGGCCATCTCCTCCGGCCGATGCCGGCATCCGGCTTCTGTGTCCTGTCCCTGTGACGTCGGGACGTACGGGCGCCGCAGCCGGCGGCGGCGGGAAATTTAAAAATTTTAAAAAATGTCATTTTTTTTTTTTTTTACATTTTACCTAGTAAAACATTGCTGTCTCAACCAATTTCACATACATTGTGTCCCGAGTGCTTTGTCCTGCGCCCTGCCTGCATTTTGTCTGTTCTTTCTGCCTGGAAACTGAGAAATGTCCATGGCGTCCAAAAAGCGTCCCTTTAGGTCAGACGCGGTTTTAGACCGGCTAGAGAACAGCGATAGTAAATCAGAACCACTTGCAGAATTGAGTGATAATGATTCGTGGGGGAAATTCGTCATCAGACACTGAAAACGATTTTGCGACTGAGCTCAGCAATGTGCGAACTTGGCGCTCTATTTCACATTTCAGTGTTTTTGGTTTGATTATATTATTGAATTAAATTTTTTATTATTTTTATATTATTTTTATGATTATTTATTAAATTATAATTTATGATTTTGTGTTTCAAATTTTATCATACCCGGGATGTTTACTAGACTCTTGTTAGGACAGATTTCAGTGAGTTTTTCCTAAAAATTACAGCCTACAATAAAAAAAATACATATTTCCATGCAAAAAAATGGTACCGCTTTCAGCACCAAAAATCTGAAATAATCATACCGCCAGGGAGGTTAAGAAAGCTCGAACACAATACAAAATACAAACCGTGAGACAGAAAAGACATAAGACAAACATTTAGATACAAGTGCGAGGGATATATTCCATAAGTACCATGGAACTGGACGTAAAAGTTCCATTCCCTTCCTCTGGTGTTCCAAAAAGAGAACCTCTCTCTCTCGTGTCCATAGTTATAGGCCTCTCTTACATTAATTTTCATAGAGTATCTCTGATTGGTTGGCCAGTCTATTCCCTTTCATAATTGGCTAACCTCAAATCCCCTGTATTTAGCATACACCAACCCCCTTTAAGGCAAATCTTAGCACACCCTTTATGGAATATAAGCAAGCCACTTCATGACCTTTGGCTGGGAAACTATTCATGAACGGCTGTCCACCTTCATTGCATATCTAAATGAGGTATCCTTTGAAGTGCATATTTGTGAAGCCAACTAACTCTGCCACCGAACTGTCTGAAAGAGGATTCTCGGCAAAGATGTCTGTTATACAGTAAAGAAGGTGTAATTAACCACTTCCCGTCCGGCCGTTGTATATAAACGGCTGGACGGTGGCACTGCAGGGTCGGGTGGCCGTCTCCAAACGGCCTCCCCGCACCCTGCTTGTGGGCGCTCCCTGGGAGCGCGCAGCACCGCGATCCGGTGCCCGCTGTGTCCTCCGGACACAGTGAAACACTGATCGTCGGACGGGACCTCTGTACGAGGTCCCGATCATGTGATCACTGATTGGCCAATCAGTGATCACATGCAAAGTAGTAAGCAAGATGTCACTTGTGACATCATTGCTTACTACGTGTGAAATCTGTGAATGATCACAGAGGTCACATGGTACAAAGCTATTCACAACAGCCTTGTACCATGTGACAAGCTGTGACCAATCACAGCTCACTCAGTACTTCTCAATGACTGCAAGAATGCACACAGAGAGAAAGAGAAATGATTGCTTTTACATCCTATATGGGTGTAAAAGCAATCAGTGTAAAAAAAAAAAAAATCTTCATCACCCCCCACAAGTAGTACAGTGTCCCTGTACTGTGCTGCTAGGGTGACCGTATGTAAAAAAAAAAACAAAAAAAAAAAAATATAATAATATAAAAAAAAAATGTAAAAAAAAATGTTTAAAAATTATAATTTTTGCTTATAAACTAATTTGGATTTTTTTTTTTTACTAAAAAGATAACGGAATACATTTTGGCTAAGATTTATGATGAAATATTATTTATTTGCAAAATTTTATAAAAAAAAAAAAACACTTTTTTTCAAAATTTTTGGATATTTCATTTACATAGCAAAAAAAATACAAATCCCAGAGGTGAATAAATACCACCAAAATAAAGCTTTATCTGTCTCAAAAAAATGGTAAAAAATTCATTTGGGTACAGTGTTGCATGACCGCGCAATTGTCATTCAAAGTGTGATAGCGCTAAAAGCTGAAAATTGCCCTGGTCAGGAAGGGGGGAAAGTGTCCGGACTGGAAGGGGGGAAAGTGTCCGGACTGGAAGTGGTTAATAGAATATTCCCTTTGGCAACCATGGTATCTATAGAAGAGGAATTTATGGGAAGATGTATTGCACATCCACACTGATAAAACTGTAACTGAAATATATTCATAATACAATATTATTTACAGTGTTTAATGAAGATTTCACATAAACTCATTATCTAACAGTCCGCCCCCTTGTGGCCAGTGAAACAAGGCCACACCTAAAATAATGATTCATGTGTAATCTCCTTTAATATTCAGAATTTTGCTGTTGCCTTTTGAAATTAACCACTTGCCCACCGAGCACTTATACCCCCTTATTTACCAGGCCAATTTTCAGCTTTCAGCGCTGCCGCACTTTGATTGACAATTGCGCGGTCATGCAACATTGTACCCATATGAAATTTTGATCATTTTTTTCTCACAAATAGAGCTTTCTTTTGGTGGTATTTAATCGCCACTGGGCGCTTTACTTTTTGCGCTATAAATAAAAAATTGCCAAAAATTTGAAAAAAAAAAAGTTTCTTTGTTTCTATTATAAAATTTTTCAAACAGGTAATTTTTCTCCTTCACTGATGTGCGTTGATGAGGCAGCACTGATGGGCACTGATAGGCGGCACTGATGGGCACTGATAGGCAGCACTAAAGGGCACTGATAGGCAGTGCTAATGAGGTGGCACGGATAGGCGGCACTGATAGACAGCACTAATGAGGTGTCACGGATAGGCGGCACTAATATGCAGCACTGATAGGCGGCACTGATAGGTGACACTGATGATGGGTACTGATAGACGGCACTGACTGGCATTACTGCTGGGCACTGACTGGCACAACCGCTGGGCACTGACTGGCAGCACTGCTGGGCTGCAATGGTGGGTGGTACTGGTGGGCAGCACTGGTGGGTGGGCACAGGTGGGTGGCACTGGTGGGCACAGGTGGGTGGGCACAGGTGGGTGGCACTGCTGGGCACAGGTAGGTGGCACTTCTGGGCACAGGTGTGTGAAATTGCAGAGTGGCACAGGTGGGTGCACTGCTGGGCACAGGTGGGTGATCTGCTGGGCACAGGTGGGCGGAGCTAGTGGGCGCACTGCAGGCACAGGTGGGCGGAACTTGCGGGTGGCACTGCTGGGCACCGATCATCAGGGCACTGATCATCAGTGCCCTGATGATCGGTTGCCGATCCCCGCTCTGACAACTGCCGGTTCTCGGCAGTACTTTCCTCACGATCTGACAGCGTGAGGAAAGTGCAGCCGAGAACCGGTACTTGCATTTCCCTCTGATCAGCGTGTCATTGGACACCGCTGATCAGGTGGTAAAAGGCCGCTGTGATTGGCCTTTTACCACTTCACGTGATCAGCTGTGTCCGTAGGACACAGCGATCACGGAGATCGCCGGGTGCGCGCCCCCCCTGGGGCGCGCAGGAGAGCGCGTTCTGGGGGGACGTCATATGATGTCCACTCAGAACTGGCCGTCCGCAGTGCAGCCGTCATTCGGCTATCTGCGGTCGGCAACAAGTTAAAAAAAAAAAACTTTTATCCGCCTCCCGCCCACCATATAAGGAAATGATGGGTGGAAGGAGGTTCTCTCATTCTGGGCGGACGTCATATTTCAGTGTTTTTGGTTTGATTATATTATTGAATTAAATTTATTATTATATTATTATTTTTTATGATTATTTATTATATTATAATTTATGATTTCGTGTTTCAAATTTTATCCTCCCCGGGATGTTTACTAGACTCTTGTTCGGTCAGAGTTCAATGAGTTATTCCTAAAAATTACAGGCCTACAATAAAAAAAACAACATATTTCCATGCAAAAAAATGTACCGATTAAGGAAAAAAAAAAAGTACTGCTTTGAGCACAGAAATATTGACATCATACCGCTAGGTAGGTTAACAATTTGGATGGTTATCACCTTCAGCCAGCTTCTTTGGTTTGAAAGCTCCCTCTGCCTCTCTCCATTGTCATAAGCCTAGATTGTAAGCTCGAAAGAGCAGGGCCCTTGAACCCCTCGTGTTTTGTTTTGTTACTGTATTGTCCCCCACTATATTGTACAGCACTGAGCAAACCTTTTAGCGCTATATAAATACTGTATAATAATAATAAGCCTGCAAGTTATTCCCCACCTTCTTCTGATGCCCACTGTGTGTGTATGACCCTTCACGTCTCCATTGGGGATCTTGTTGCCATCACAACTCACCAGTGTATGCTTTTACTGGAATCTAGCTACTGCATGAGCCATACCTTTAGCAGGCTTGGGAAGAGGTCATACCTTTAGCAGGCTTGGGAAGAGGTCATACCTTTAGCAGGCTAGGGAAGAGGTCATACCTTTAGCGGGCTTGGGAAGAGGTCATACCTTTAGCAGGCTTGGGAAGAGGTCATACCTTTAGATGGCTAGGGAAGAGGTCATACCGTTAGATGGCTAGGGAAGAGGTCATACCGTTAGATGGCTAGGGAAGAGGTCATACCTTTAGCAGGCTTGGGAAGAGGTCATACCTTTAGAAGGCTAGGGAAGAGGTCATACCTTTAGCAGGCTAGGGAAGAGGTCATCCCTTTAGCAGGCTAGGTTAGAGGTCATACCTTTAGCAGGCTAGGGAAGAGGTCATACCGTTAGATGGCTAGGGAAAAGGTCATACCTTTAACAGCCTAGGGAAGAGGTCATACCTTAAGCGGGCTAGGGAAGAGGTCATACCGTTAGATGGCTAGGGAAGAGGTCATACCTTTAGCAGGCTAGGGAAGAGGTCATACCTTTAGCAGGCTAGGGAAGAGGTCATACCTTTAGAACGCTAGGGAAGAGGTCATACCGTTAGATGGCTAGGGAAGAGGTCATACCTTTAGCAGGCTAGGGAAGAGGCCATACCGTTAGATGGCTAGGGAAGAGGTCATACCTTTAGCAGGCTAGGGAAGAGGTCATACCGTTAGATGGCTAGGGAAGAGGTCATACCTTTAGCAGGCTAGGGAAGAGTTCATACCTTTAGCGGGCTAGAGAAGAGGTCATACCTTTAGCGGGCTAGGGAAGAGTTCATACCGTTAGAAGGCTAGGGAAGAGGTCATACCTTTAGCAGGCTAGGGAAGAGGTCATACCTTTAGCGGGCTAGGGAAGAGGTCATACCTTTAGATGGCTAGGGAAGAGGTCATACCTTTAGCAGGCTAGAGAAGAGGTCATACCTTTAGCGGGCTAGGGAAGAGTTCATACCGTTAGAAGGCTAGGGAAGAGGTCATACCTTTAGCGGGCTAGGGAAGAGGTCATACCGTTAGATGGCTAGGGAAGAGGTCATACCTTTAGCAGGCTAGGGAAGAGGTCATACCTTTAGCGGGCTAGGGAAGAGGTCATACCTTTAGCGGGCTAGGGAAGAGGTCATACCTTTAGCGGGCTAAGGAAGAGGTCATACCGTTAGAAGGCTAGGGAAGAGGTCATGCCTTTAGCGGGCTAGGGAAGAGGTCATGCCTTTAGCGGGCTAGGGAAGAGGTCATGCCTTTAGCGGGCTAGGGAAGAGGTCACGCCTTTAGCAGGCTAGGGAAGAGGTCATACCTTCAGCAGGCTATGGAAGAGGTCATACCTTCAGCAGGCTATGGAAGAGGTCATACCTTTAGCGGGCTAGGGAAGAGGTCATACCTTTAGCAGGCTAGGGAAGAGGTCATACCTTTACACTTAAGTACAATTGTGCTATACTATACCTGCTAATGGCCAATCACTATGAATCTCATCTCAAGTCCCGGTATATCCATGTGATACTCAAGCAATGCCCTTTGAACTTCATTATGGCAAAAACCAACAAACAGAAGAAAAAAAATGATCGTATATGATGACTGATAGGTTCTAGGACTGTAGACTGTAGACATGTGAGATGTACAGATACTGTATGTAATGGATACACAACTGTTTCTTAAAACTGGTGTTACTTTTGTTGTTGGCAATAGTTAAATGACAATAAGGGAGCTTCACTACATATATATAAAACAGTTATTCAATGTTGGAAGAGACAAAAAATGCTGGAAATTCATTTAAAACACACAAAAATTGCTGTAAGGGAGCTTTAATATTCTATATCAAACATTTAAAAAAAAAATGTTCTCCCTGTGCAAATTCAAAATGTTCTCCATATAATGTTCTCCATATCCCCCTCTTTTTTTTTTTTTTTTTTTTTTTATTTCACCATAGCCAAACCAAACAACTTAATTACCCAGGAAGAAAAATTGTGCTAAAAGGATAGACAGAAAAAAAGAGCAAAAAAATCCCCCCTAAAAACAATAAAAAAACCCCCAAAAGGTACAGATTTAATGCTGACTCAGCATGACAGTTATCCTACACCAGGGGTGGGCAACTGTGGCCCTCCATCTGTCATGGAACTACATGTCCCATGAGTCATTGAAAGGCTGACAGTTACATCATGACTCGCAGAGGCCACAGTTTGCACACCCCTGTCCTACACCATTCTCAACTTGTTAGAGAGCATTGAATCTGTATTTGGTCTCCAAAACAAAATGCAAACTGCATTACAAAAAAAAAAAAGAAAAAAAAAAAAAAACCCATTGCTGTTATACAGTGACTTGGCACGAGCCAATTCTGTCCTATAGGGAGTCAATCGATCCATTTTAAACTCACTTTGCAAGGCAGGGACACAAAAAATAAAAACAAAGTAGAGAGAGGAAAAAAAAAAACCTTTTATTTTAGAGTTTTAGTTCGTCCCGACTGCCATTAACCACCTCCTGTCTGGCCCATGTATATAAACGGCTGGCAGTGCAGGGTCGGGTGGCAGTTAATAAACGGCCTCCCTGACCCCTGCTTGTGCGGGCTCCCTGGGAGCGTGCAACACCGCGATCTGGTGCTCGCTCCGATTGTCGTACGGGACCTCTGTGCGAAGTCTCGATCATGTGATCACTGATTGGCCAATCAGTGATCACATGCAGAGTAGTAAGCAAGATGTCACTTCTGACATCATTGCTTACTATGTGTGATATCTGTGAATGATCACAGATATCACATGGTACAGGGCTAATCACAACAGCCTTGTACCATGTGACAAGCTGTGACCAATCACAGCTATCACAGCATTTCTCAATGGCTGCAAGAATGCTAAAAAAATTCATATGGGTACAGTGTTGCATGACCGCGCAATTGTCATTCAAAGTGTGATAGCGCCGAAAGCTGAAAATTGGCCTGGACAGGAAGGGGGTGAAAGTGTCCGGACTGGAAGGGGGTGAAAGTGTCCGGACTGGAAGGGGGCGAAAGTGTCCGGACTGGAAGGGGGCGAAAGTGTCCGGACTGGAAGGGGGTGAAAGTGTCCGGACTGGAAGGGGGCGAAAGGGTCCGGACTGGAAGGGGGCGAAAGGGTCCGGACTGGAAGGGGGCGAAAGGGTCCGGACTGGAAGGGGGCGAAAGTGTCCGGACTGGAAGGGGGCGAAAGTGTCCGGACTGGAAGGGGGCGAAAGTGTCCGGACTGAAAGGGGGGGAAAGTGTCCGGACTGGAAGGGGGGGAAAGTGTCCGGATTGGTAGGGGGGGAAAGTGTCCGGACTGGAAGGGGGCGAAAGTGTCCGGACTGAAAGGGGGGGAAAGTGTCCGGACTGGAAGGCGGGTGAAAGTGTCCGGACTGGAAGGGGGTGAAAGTGTCCGGACTGGAAGGGGGGGAAAAGCGTCCGGACTGGAAGGGGGGGGAAAGTGTCTGAACTGGAAGGGGGGGGAAAGAGTCCGGACTGGAAGGGGTTAATTAACTGCAATTCAGAGGCTTCTCCTTCAAACAAACATAAAAAGTTTGCTATGCTTTAAGGACCTCTTATCCAAGTATTTGCTTAGTCTGGGTCAGGTCCACGGGCGGACTGACCATTTGGAAACTCGGGCACTGCCGAGGGCCCGGGGTCAGTAGGGGGCCCCATGAGATGCCCCTGGTACCTTTTTCATAGGCTTTTTTGAGTTTGGGCAAGGACACAGGGGCCCCATGATCGCCTATTGCCCAGGGGCCCCATGAGTTGTCAGTCCGCCCCTGGTAAGGTCTGTATTATCCGTCAATGTTCTGGTATTTTTCCTAAAATATAAAACTCAAAAACCATTACTAACCCCCCACCCCCTCACTCAACCTCTGAGAGGTTCCCAATGACTAAGCTAGTAGTGAATGCTTGGAACGGACTTCCAGCAGAGGTAATGAGTCCATTTGGAAGAGAAAAAACAAAACAAAAACACACAACATACGAAATCGACAAAATACCATCAAGTGTCAAATAACATATCATGTATTTTCCTGTCAATGAAAACTGCACTCTGAGCCACAGAAAAGAAAAGGAAACATAAAATTTCTAAATTTCCTGAGTGATTGTTATTAACTGTTTCCATACCGGGCACTTTCACCCCCTTCCAGTCCAGGCCATTTTTCAGGTTTCAGCGCTCTCACACTTTTAAATGACAATTGCGCGGTCATGCAACACTGTACCCAAACTAAAATTTTATCATTTTCTTCACACAACTAGGGCTTTCTTTTGGTGGTATTTAATCACCGCCGCGGGGTTTTTATTTTTTTGCTAAATTAACAAAAAAAGACCAAACATTTTGAAAAAAAAAACCCACTTTTTTTTCTTTGTTTCTGTTATAAAAGTTTGCAAATAAAATAATTGTTCTTCATAAATTTAGGCCGAGATGTATTCTGCTACATGTCTTTGGTGAAAATAACCCAAATTAGGACGTATTATTTAGTTTGTAGGAAAGTTATAGAGTTCACAAACTATGGTATAGATCTGAATATTGATCAATCCTGAAGTACTGACAGCCAATCTAATTTCTTGAGGTCCAAGAATGTCAGAACAGTATAGATATCCCCCAAATGTCAGAACAGTACAGATATCCCCCAAATGTCAGGACGGTACAGATATCCCCCAAATGTCAGGACGGTACAGATATCCCCCAAATGTCAGGACAGTACAGATATCCCCCAAATGTCAGAACAGTACAGATACCCACAAATGTCAGGACAGTACAGATATCCCCCAAATGTCAGAACAGTACAGATATCCCCCCCCAAAATGTCAGGACAGGACAGATATCCCCCAAATGTCAGGACAGTACAGATATCCCCCAAATGTCAGGACAGTACAGATATCCCACAAATGTCAGGAAGGTACAGATACCCCCAAATGTCAGGACAGTACAGATATCCCCCCAAATGTCAGGACGGTACAGATATCCCCCAAATGTCAGGACAGTACAGATATCCCCCAAATGTCAGGACAGTACAGATATCCCCCAAATGTCAGGATAGTACAGATATCCCCCAAATATCAGGACAGTACAGATATCCCCCAAATGTCAGGATAGTACAGATATCCCACAAATGTCAGGACAGTACAGATATCCCTCAAATGTCAGGACAGTACAGATATCCCCCCAAATGTCAGGACAGGACAGATATCCCCCAAATGTCAGGACAGGACAGATATCCCCCAAATGTCAGGACAGTACAGATATCCCCCAAATGTCAGAACAGTACAGATATCCCCCAAATGTCAGGATGCTACAGATATCCCCCAAATGTCAGAACAGTACAGATATCCCCCCAAATGTCAGGATGCTACAGATATCCCCCAAATGTCAGAACAGTACAGATATCCCCCAAATGTCAGAACGGTACAGATATCCCCCAAATGTCAGGACAGTACAGAAATCCCCCAAATGTCAGGACGGTACAGATATCCCCCAAATGCCAGAACAGTACAGATATCCTCCAAAATGTCAGGACGGTACAGATATCCCCCAAATGCCAGAACAGGACAGATATCCCCCAAATGTCAGGACGGTACAGATATCCCCCAAATGTCAGGATGCTACAGATATCCCCCAAATGTCAGAACGGTACAGATATACCCCAAATGTCAGGATGCTACAGATATCCCCCAAATGTCAGAACGGTACAGATATCCCCCAAATGTCATGATGCTACAGATATCCCCCCCAAATGTCAGAACGGTACAGATATCCCCCAAATGTCAGAACGGTACAGATATCCCCCAAATGTTAGGACGGTACAGATATCCCCCAAATGTCAGAACGGTACAGATATCCCCCAAATGTCAGGACAGTACAGATATCCCCCAAATGTCAGGACGGTACAGATATCCCCCAAATGCCAGAACAGGACAGATATCCCCCAAATGTCAGGACAGTACAGATATCCCCCAAATGTCAGGATGCTACAGATATCCCCCAAATGTCAGGATGCTACAGATATCCCCCAAATGTCAGAACAGTACAGATATCCCCCAAATGTCAGGACAGTACAGATATCCCCCAAATGTCAGAGCAGGACAGATATCTCCCAACTGTCTGGACAGTACAGATATCCCCCAAATGTCAGAACAGGACAGATATCTCCCAACTGTCAGGACGGTACAGATATCCCCCAAAATGTCAGAACAGGACAGATATCTCCCCAACTGTCAGGACGGTACAGATATCCCCCAAATGTCAGAACAGGACAGATATCTCCCAACTGTCAGGATGGTACAGATATCCCCCAAATTGTCAGAACAGGTACAGATATCTCCCAACTGTCAGGATGGTACAGATATCCCCCAAATGTCAGGACGGTACAGATATCCCCCAAATGTCAGGATGGTACAGATATCCCCCAAATGTCAGGACGGTACAGATATCCCCCAAATGTCAGGACGGTACAGATATCCCCCAAATGTCAGGACAGTACAGATATCCCCCAAATGTCAGGACAGTACAGATATCCCCCAAATGTCAGGACAGGACAGATATCCCACAAATGTCAGGACAGTACAGATATCCCTCAAATGTCAGGACAGTACAGATATCCCCCCAAATGTCAGGACAGGACAGATATCCCCCCAAATGTCAGGACAGGACAGATATCCCCCAAATGTCAGGACAGTACAGATATCCCCCAAATGTCAGAACAGTACAGATATCCCCCAAATGTCAGGATGCTACAGATATCCCCCAAATGTCAGAACATACAGATAACCCCCAAATGTCAGGATGCTACAGATATCCCCCAAATGTCAGAACAGTACAGATATCCCCCAAATGTCAGAACGGTACAGATATCCCCCAAAATGTCAGGACAGTACAGAAATCCCCCAAATGTCAGGACGGTACAGATATCCCCCAAATGCCAGAACAGGACAGATATCCCCCAAATGTCAGGACTAGAGATGAGCGAATTTCTCAAAAATTCGATTCGGCTGATTCGGATCGCGAATTCCAGTGTATAAAATTCGATTCGATGCGAATTTCTTCGCTACGAAGATAACTTATTAAAAGGGTTTCTAGGCTTCAGAGAGCCTTAAAATTAGTGCAGAACAACTGTACCTTTAATTTAAATGCCCTTGGAGATGAGGAAGGAGAAGGAGAAGGAGAAGGATGAAGAGAAGAAGGAGAAGGAGAAATGATAGAAGAAGAGAAGATGAGAAGAAGGAGAAGGATGAGAAGAAGGAGAAGGAGAAGGATGAGAAGAAGGAGAAGAAAGGATGAGAAAGAAGGAGAAGGATGAAAGGAGAAGGATGAGAAGAAGAGAAGGAGAAGGATGAGAAGAAGGAGAAGGATGAAAGAAGGAGAAGGATTAAGGAAGAAGGAGAAGGATAGAAGAAGGAGAAAAAGGAGAAGATGAGGAGAAGGAGAAGGAAAGAGGAAAAGGAGAAGGAGAAGGATGAGAAGAAGAGAAGGAGAAGGATGAGAAGAAGATGAGAAGAAGGAGAAGGAGAGAAGATAGGAGAAAGAGAAGAGAAGAAGAAGAGAAGAAGGAAGAAAAGGAGAAGGAAGAGAAGAAGGAGAAGGATGAGAAGAAGAGAAGGATGAGAAGAAGGAGAAGGAGAAGGTGAGAAGAAGGAAGAAGGAGAAGGAGAAGAAAGGAGAAGGATAGAAGATGAGAAAGAAGGAAGAGAAGAGAAGGATGAGAAGAAGGAGGAAAGGAAAGAGAAGAAGGAGAAGGAGAAGGAAGAAGAAGGAGAAAGGATGGATGAGGAGAAAGAGAAGGATAGAAGAAGGAGAAGAGAGAAGAAGAAGGAAGGAGAAGGATTCTGAGAAGAAGGAGAAGGATGAAAGAAAGAAGGAGAAGATGAAAGAAGGAGAAGGATGAGAAGAAGGAGAAGGAGAGGAGAGAAGAGAAGATGAGAAGAAGGAGAAGGATGAAAGAAGGAGAAAGATGAGAGAAGAAGGATGAGAAGAAGGAGAAGATCCAAGGATGAGAAGAGAAGGAGAAGGAGAAGGATGAGAAGAAGGAGAAGGAGAAGGATGAAAGAAGGAAAATGAGAAGAAGGAGAAGGAATGGAGAAAGAAGGAGAAGGAGAAGATGAGATGAGAAGAAGGAGAGGATGAGAAGAAGATGAGAAGGATGAGAGAAGGAAAGAAGAAGGATGAGAAGAAGGATGGAGAAGAAGGCTGTAAGGATGAGAAGAAGGAGAAGGAGAAGACAGAAGATGAAGGGTCTGGGAGTTCTGACAGTTCCGGTTTCATTGAGAAGTTTCTGATTTCTGACAAGGTGAATGGAAAGAAGGATAGAAGAATGTTTTCAACCGCTGGATGGAGGATGAATGTCAAGAACTGTCAGAAATAGACTATTTTCTAATGACAGTTTTGGGACATTCCTTCCATACAGCGGTTGAAACATTGTATCAGATTTTTTTCCATAAATGACATTCTGAGATACACTTAGAGGAGCGCTGCAGAATGTCACACTTTTTGCC